CACTGTCAAACCAAGTTCCATTTTAAAAGCAGGTTTTTTATGGTAGGGTCATATTTTTTTCACAATAACAACTTTAGTTACACCATCACTCTTTTCTCATTCAATTTAATCTACAGACACAATCGGCACACTTAATTTACTCATTAACTTTATTAAAAAATCTGTGATGAAGTGTATGTACGCATATTCACTATCTAGGTCTCACAGTTATCCTCTCTGCAGATGTCCTGAAGCCACATATTGTCCTTCACTCTTCGGTGAAGTAAAGCAAATTGGATTCTATTGTTTCATGTCCAAAATGTAACACAGCAGCTTTGAGGTATGATGCCACTAAGTACTTTTACATTACTTGTTTCACCCAAATGGGGGTGTGGTCATTCTGATGACAGGAAAGTGATGTACGTCTGCTCTCATCTATGGGGAAACAAAAAAAGCAAGAAATGTGGAAAGTGAAAAGACTACATTTTTTACACTGACCAAATCAGAGGCATGCATTTTGTGATGAAAGGAAGGTAAAAAAGGTTTATGAGCCGCAGATTGCAAGTGAAAAAAAGCATCTCAACAGCTGTAATGTTGCACAACCAGCCCAATCTAAGAGAAGAGAGAAGAGAAGAGAATAATGGTATTGGAGATCATTAAAACCCACCAGCTCCATTAACTGGGAAGTAAATGTGAGAGGTCATACAATCAGGCACCATTTAGTGGAATCCATTTCCAACTTCAAATGAGGAGGGCCAATTGTCTTAGAACACACTGTATGTATTTGATCCATTCACCTCATTTACTATCACAGTTCTCATTTCCATGAGTTTAACTGATCCTTAAAGTTCCCAGCTTCTTGATGTTTTCCCCTGATGTCACTGCATTTCAATAAGATCACGCACTTCGCAACGGCAGTGACATTTACATCTTTAATTAGCTAGTATTTGTTTTTAGATGTAAAATTAGCTGTTCCCTGGAGGATTTCAGTGCAGCTGATCCATGACTTTGTTCAGTTTAATTGCACATTACACATAATGAGGTATTGGTGGTACATGGAGGTAAAGGAAAAGTGTTGTCTCAAAACAACAATACAAAACTGAATTAAGCATGAAAGTAAGATTTAACATTTCATATAACATTAATAACAATGTGCGGGAGGTGTTATCTTCCCTCTTCTTCTGCTTTCAGATAAAGGCAACACAGACAAATACATATATAAGGATTAGAGACAGGTTCAAATATATGCATGTTTGTATGCGCAAGCATGGGCACAGTGGCAGCTCTGAATTGCTGTATTACACGCAACATTTCAATTCTATTGTTTGCACATCTCTGGGATTCACCAGCAAAATGCTTAGATTATCATCATATAATGTGTGTGTATGTGCAAAGAAGTGGGCCAGTTGTAATGAATCAAATTGACTGGAAACAGAGAAAAGGAGCAGAGAAGAAACAGATGCCATCCTCACAGATGCTCTGTGAAGTGGTGAATAAATGCAACTCTACAGTATATAAAGGCAGAAAACAACTAATCAAATGGCAACATCCTAATTCTCTGTGCATTCTGGGGACTCTTCCATCGGGGTCAACACTGGAGTAGATTTCTGTATTAAAGTCACATTCTGCACAAGAGAGACATAAAGAGAGGTTTTATGAGCGGTATTATGATATGATATTATGATGCTTCCTTCTTATCTCCTTTAGCATAGGATGCACTGGACCATTCTTTACCAGAAGAAAGGAGATCATGCTGTCCCACAATTCCTTGCAGCAGCAACATATAAAGTAATGCAACATTGTAGTTTCACCAGGTGGACCCATGTAAATGTAGAAACAGTACCTGTTTTATGACACTATCCAAAACTAATGTACAAATCTATCCAGTTAGGCATAATTGATAAACAAGCATGTTATAAAGAAAACCTCTAGGACTGCCTTCTTTCATTTACGTAATATTACAAAAATTAGACATATCCTGTACAGAACATTGCAGAAAAACATAATCATGCTTTGTTTCTAGCTGGATTACTCAACTTCTTATTATCAGCGTTGGCCCCAATAATCATTAAGATCTCCAATTAAATTTAGAACGCTGCAGCATGAGTACTGACAGGAACTAGGAAAAGAGATCACATCTCTCCTGCACTAGCTTCTCTGCACTGGCTACTTGTAAAATTCAGAATAGAATACTGTTAATAATATAACAGTATGACTGTATAATAATATGAGGGTTAGCTGTTAAGTCTGTAGTGTTTTGAAAGCAGGGCATGAACTGTAGCATTTAGTGGGTTTTTACTGGTAACACTAAATTAAATAGCTAAATAATAAATATGTCAGTAACATGTGTGTCATAAAGTCATTTTATTAAGAGAAAACAGTTTTTATGAATGTTTATTTAAGGTAAATAATTGTCCACTTACTTGTCTATCCTCCACATTAGGATTTATTTATGGTAAATGTTGAGATCAGTGGACATGGTCTTCATGTAGACGTTTGCTAGTTTCTCTTCATGTGAACGTCCTTAACTTATAGCCTTTCATGCGTTTAACGGCCACAGTGAGGGAGTTGCGATCTGCAACTACACAGCTAGATGTCACTAAATCTTACACCATGGACTTGAGTGAGTACACGTGTCAGAAGATGGCACATGTGCTATGTGTGTTTATCTGTTATACACATTTTAAAATGAGGTTGAAAAGTTGGTGTCAAAATGGAGACACAATAAAAACTGATGTAAACATAATATATAGCATCAGTGCAGGAGCTGTCTCTCTTCTGGTTTTATTTCTAGCAGTGTAAATACAACATCAGCAAATTGCTGGTGCCCTCTGTTCCATAGAACAGCAGACAAAAACACCACAGTGTGTCCACATGAAAGACAAATTCATTCCTGAAAATACTGTAACATACAGTAAATGTTATATTAGTTGTTAAGCACCAGTTCAATGTCATGATGTAATAGTGTTAGTCTTCTAATCGTGTAATCTTGTTATTCACACAGCAGTATTTGATGAAAACACACACTCATTTGCATTTTGAGGACTTTTTGAGAAACTGTGTGTTCATGGAGTAGGCTTAGCACCAGGAGGCCCACACAGTGCAGAGGAGTGGGCAGCCTGCGGTTTAGTGGGATTTACAGTGTTTAACCACCATCAAACAGTCACCTATAAGGCTTTTTTTGCATGGAGATGTATGAAGGGAGGCTTTACACAAATGCAGATGAATGTATGGTGGCTGAAATGTACCTCTCTCCATCAGAGTCAGTGTGTGTATCAAAGATAGAATATTTAGCAGTGCAGAACTTCTCTGTCTCTCTTCTCATTCTTTACTGTGGAGTCAGAAGTTTGGGTGTCAGTAGATTGATAACTTTTCCTTGAAGGATCCCATCAGGTACTGTGAAAAAGCTTAACCTCCTAACCACACAAACACACTTGCACACATGCCTATAGCGCTTGCTTAATGCTAATTTGACCGGCATCAACCTTGCTGATTGGGTCATTAGTTGCTCCCTAACGTCCTGTCAGAGGTTTCATTTCCTGTGCCCTCTGTGGGTTAATGAGGTGTGCGGTGGTGGGGAGCTTGGGGTGGGGGTGAGGGGGCTGTTGGGACAGTTTATTCTGTGTTTTTCTGCTCAGCCTCATTTGCATGGCAGGAGGAGACAAGCTCCATAACGGCGGGGAGTCTCCTACCATTGCCCAGAGAATGAAAGCTAGCAGAGAATAGATGATTTGGGCCAATTAGGCAGTCCAAACGGCTATGAGACAGCAGCAGTTAAGAAGTCATTATGGAAGAAGAAGGTGTTCATTGACACAAACAGGGGAGTACACAAAGACATACCAATCCCCCAATACAGACTGTGGCACACAGTTATCTTGTTCCCAGGTCTGACTAGCAAGACACAGAGCAGTGTTTAAAGGATCAGTTTAAATTAATGTTAGACATCTATTTGTCATCTTTCTGACAGTGAGATGAGAGGATTCATGTAAATCTCATGTTTGTGTTCAAAGTACTTTGAGCACTTCTAGTTTAAAATCTCTGAATTTTTCAGAACTGTTGTTACTCCCGCTAATTTTGAAAAAAACAATCAAGATAGAGAACTTGTCAGTAGCAACCAAGAAAATGGAGGAGAAGCTTTTTATCTAGCTTTATATCTTAAGAGAGACAGTAAAGTAAGATTAAGGGCCAGACTAAGAATTTTCTTTTTTTTTTTGGGGGGAAATTACAAGAATAAAGTCATAATGTTATGACTATGTCGTAATAATACGAGAATATTAAAATAATAATACAAGAAAAAAAGTCGTTTTAATGAGAAAAAAGCTTTGATAGAGTTATCAAGATCCTATATATAGTATATATTATTATATTTTAGTAAATACTTTTATTAGTTAGAGTTAATAAAACAAGGGAATACATAACAAATGTGGTTTTATTAATTAAAATCCTGGTGTGTTTCATTGATAGTTTAAATTACTGAAGATTACAATCTGATCACTTTCCATTGAAAATAATCTGAGAGCTTAAACAGAGTTCTATAATACCCAGTCTCACTGTACCTGTCTCACCTGTTACCAGTCTCACTGTACCTTGTCTCACTGTACAGTCTTCACCTGTACCGTCTCACCTGTACCTGTCTCACCTTACCTGTATGTTCTGTGTTAATATTAAAAAAAAACATTTGGAGAAAATAACAGATTTATTAAAACTATTGTTATAGATAAATTATTGATCATCAAACTGATCACGTAACTGCAGCTGACTGAAGGTGTTGGATGGTTTTATTTTGAAATCCAGTAGGAGAATGTTTGGTGTTGACTGCCGAGGCAGCTCGGCAGGGGTCAGCCGGAAAGTCCGCACGTCATAACAGAGAGCACTGAAGACCCGGTCCCAGATGCAGACCCGGTCCAGAGTGAGCCCGGTCCCAGAGTGAGACCCCACTGGTCCCAGAGTGGACCCGGTCCCAGAGTTGAGACCCCGGTCCCGGACTGAACCGTCTTTTCTTAAACGGATCCTCGGACCAGGACAACTCGGCGGCGACCCAGCGCAAGGCGGTGTCTCAGATCCCGCTGCTGAAGACGCACGCGGCCGCGACCGGCGCTGTGGCCGCAGCGGCTGAATGAGATACAGCCCTGATCCGGTTCGTGGAGCCAGAACAAGGGGGCTGACAACGACTGGTTCCGGGCTCGAGTCCAAACGCGGACGGACCGCTGGACCGGGACGTGCTGGTTCATCCCACCGAGCTGCGCGCTATGAGTTCCGGTTGGAGTTCAGACATCCCGGGTCACATATCCGGACACCGCGCCGAGGTGGCGGTCCCGGAGCCTGACGGGAAGACCGCAAGATGTACCGGGGCGGGAAGGATCTGCCTCACGGGACACTCGCGCCGCTTCTGGGTCGCCCGGAACGCGCGCGCTTCGGGCTGGGCACCCATGGCGCTGGGACTCGGACCGTGGCTCGCTGTGGAGTCCCAGACCTGATCAACGGCAAGGGGCTCGTGGTCCACAAAGAGCCAGCAGCGCGACGCGGCGCGGAGTGACGTCACCGGACCACCAACACCTGAGCCTGAGGACGGAGAGTTGACTGA